GGTAGATGAAGACGGCGCATTAACCTCCCCAATCAAGTCTCATGGTGCCGTCGCAAAACCTCAGTGTGGAAAACACTGTCAGGAACTGTGGCTAAATGTCAGCAAAAAAATGCAACATTTCATCAGCCAGAAGTGCATGTCATGAAGAAAAAGAAATTCAGTGAAGAGGCACGTTAAGCTTTGAGCTGGTTCATGTTCCTTTTAGTTCACGTAAAAAACTAACAGCTCAAAGTGTTTCTATTTCAGATCAAACATGTTATATACAGCTGAATATTTGACGGGTTTAGTTCTGCCAGGCTGCTCCTTTCATAAAGGAGGAGAAAATAAGAAACAAGATTGAGATGAAAGGGTCACGGCTGGCACACAGATTGGGGTTGCAAAGTGAAAGTTGACTGTGTTGTATCACCTGATTTTCACAAACCACTGTAGACAGACCCCGTCTGCCTTGAGTGTTATGTCCCTCAGTGAGGCAGCAGGGCTACAAACATGTCGTAATGAATGTCTCTTTGTCACTAATTAAAGTAATTAAGTAATTCACAATCAGGATGAACTCATTTTCTTCTCACTAGTCCTACAGTGTGTTCAGTAAGATAGCACCCAGCGTTGTGTTAGATACATCCTCTCTTGTGAGAGTTGTTGCTTCCTTGTCTCAGCCCTTTGATTTACAACAAAACAAAATATTTATTCTTAAAGATGGACAGAACAGAAACTTTCAAAATAACACAAATTCCCAGCAGCTCGTTTCAGCCCTCCGGCAACTCACAACTTAGCCATCAAAACAAAGTTTGATAGACACGGCTCGTTTTTCTTTTATCTCTGAGTGAGAAGCCATCGTTTTCCTGCTGCTTTCTCAAGATGCAAACAAATGAAAGCCTTTGGCAATATTTGAATGCACATTTAATGATCAAACAAGAAAGATGGGGAGTTTTGGTAAGAAATTCTTTGTTGTTTGGTGTTTCCAATACTACATGTCACAATTTTCAGCAAAGCCCTCGCTGGCCGTACTAATTATGAAGGAAGTCAGGTGACATCGTTAGAGACCCACATAGTCCACGTATGGAGGAGGTCAGCGTGGATGGATAGGTCATTATAAAACGTTGGACTTTAACTTTGGAGACTGCTGCTTGTTTCACCTTTCAAACAGTATCACCTTAACCACGTGTTTATCATTGTAACCATGACAACAAAAGTCCAGTATCAGAGGGTGAGGACAAACCACCTATATGATTCTTCAGGTTGGAGGACTTTTTTTTTGGTTGTTGTTATATACCACTATACTGTCATTATTATGGTAGTATAACAACATACACATTACATGCATTAGATTAAGAGAAACAAAAATCAGCAGCTTGGATTATATTTTAGTGTTTTGTTTATTGTATGAATAAGAATATTTCTTCTCCTGATGCTTCCTGTTTGGTTGTGAGCGACGTGCGTCAGGACCGACAGTGTGAGGTGTTAATTCAAACACCTGTTACTCATATGCTGACACGTATCAAAACATGAACTTAATTTAGGCTGCGCAGTATGTACTGTACATTGTACACTATCAAGTCAAATCAAGGCGGCTTTTATTTATATAGCACCAAATCACAAGTTATCTCTGCGCACTTTTCTTATAAAGCAGGTCTAGACTTGGGGCGTCGTGTGGCGTAGTGGTCTAAGCAGGCGCCCCACGTGTAGAGGCTTCAGTCCTCGCTGCAGTTGGCCCCAGCCCAAGTCCCGCATCGGACGGCCTTTGCTGCATGTCATTCCCCCTCTCTCTGCCTCCCCATTTCCTGTCTCTCTCTACTGCACTATCAATAAAAGCATAAAAAGCCCAAAAAAATATACTTTAAAAAAAAAAAAAAAGCAAGTCTAGACTTCACTCTGTGTAATATTATTTGCAGAAACCCAACAATTCCCACCATGAGCAAGCACTTGGCGACAGTGGCAGAGGAAAAAAAAAACTTCCTTTTAAAAGACAGAAACCTTGAGCAGGGTGGATGGCCATCTGCCTCGACCGGGTGGGTGGAGGGTGGAGAGAGAGCAAGAGGGAGAGAGCACAATGCAAGGGGCACATAGACATGAGAAGTCATAATACTACAGCTATTGAGCCGGATCACGGGGCCGTAGGTGGTTTTGCAGTCACACATCCAGACTCTGCAGCTCCAGAGGCAAAAATACCTGCAGAGGGAAATGAGGAGAGAGACAAGAAAGCACAAAACAGGAGGGAGGGGGAGAGAGAGATGAAAAAAGAGGACAGGAAGAGGAGAGACCGAGAGACCCACAGTCTGGACGCCCGTGTGCTTAAGGGAGTAAACAAACAGAGTGAGAGTGATGCAGCGGTTTTCAGAAAATTTACAGTAATCTCATTGGCAGAATAACATGGACTCTGCTGTATTCACTGGGTTTAACTGGTTCATAGAGACTGAAAGTTAAGGTGTGAAGAGGAGATTTGAGTCTGGATTTGAAGGCCTCAACAGAGTCAGACAGTCTGATGTCAGCAGGGAGGTTATTCCAGGGGAAGGAAGCCCGATAGGGAAATGCCCTGTAGCCTGCAGACGCTTTCTAACTGAAAGAGTGAAGGGAAAAAAAATATCTTTGTATAATCTAAGACTCCACACTCTGGCTTTAATAATAGCTAGCAAATGTCATTTGCCCCTAGAAATTATGTTTATATTGTAAGAAATTGTTTTAACATTGAAGCTGTGATGAAAAACATAACTGCTAGCTGGATTATGATAATTTTGAATGAAAAGTGCAGAACGTTTATTAACGGCAGCAGAGGCACCAGGAGGTGGGTGACATGGACAGTGCATGTACAAAGCAGAGGACTGTGACAGCAGAGATCAGGGCCCACAGACAACGTCCCACCTCGGGTGAACTTTAGGCAACAAACGTGCTTTGATTAAGGTCAGGAAAAATAAACACACTGTGTCTCATGTCTCGGTGAATTTTTCCTGTATTAAAACAAACCACAGTTTCTCCCTAAACTTAACAAAGAGCTGTGAGTGTCTAAACATAACCATTAAAAAAAGTTTGGAGAGGCTTTGGAGGAGCTTTGTCAAGTCTGAGGAACAAATAAAAACCCTTGTCATAGTGTTATCTCACAAGCATTATCTCTGGACATGGATTCTTTTAACTGGAAACCTGGGAAGGTGACGTTTGAAAACCATGTTAATTTACCAGACAAGGAGGGTCTAATAAAAAGCTGCTCTTAGTCGCGTTATGAAAAATGTAGAATCCAGTGTTTTTTAGAGCCTGGCCCATATATTCAAAGGGACTCCGAGTCAGAATAACTTGGCTTCTGCTGCTGCAATGTTTCATCTCATGAGTCTCTCAACCTTATGGAAGTGCATTTAAAAAATGGCTGGAGTGAAGACCAAACAGCATGTTGCTTTGGAGGGAGCCATTCTAGATACTGTATATTGTGATTTGCTAGTTTTCGTTTAAAAACTTTGCACATCATTCGTCCTCTATCCTGTCTTAAAAGTTTGTGCATATCACTTATACTGTAGTCTAAACTAAAGACTAATTCACATTCACACAGGTATTATGTGAAAATCTTGTTACTTCAATATCAGTGATTTTCATGTTTTAAGAAATTCTCCCACCTGAGAAGAATCCTTGCGATCTGCATTGGTAGCATGTCACAGACTCATTCTCATAGAGCTAAAAGCAAGGCTGATTTTCCTATTTGCACATAAGATGACATTTGTCAGTGTCAGTTGCCCAAATTATCCCCAGCGGTGTGTATAAAACGAACAAATTCAAGAACTCTGATCCAATTTAAGCTTTTACCTCGTCTTGAACAATCCCCCCACCGCATGAGGTCGAAGAAACGCAAACAGGATCTTTAAGTACTCCATGTGCTTCATGAGAAGATATTTGCACTTGCAGCTGCAGTTTGTTTCACTTCTTCTGTTTATTCCCTCTGAATTTCAGTTTGGAACTCCTTTAGGTCCTTTCATTGGTGCGGTTTTATTCGCTCTATATTTGAGTGACCTTTACACCCTGTACCCTCTATGAGTCATATTGATTTGCTCTTCAAAGGAATGTAAAAAGCTCTTTTTTTTTTTTTAGTCCGTTTCAGTGTTTCTCAGGGTGATGTGGTGCTGTACTGAATGTCTCACACCACAGAGACAAAGAGTTTATGGAATGATTTATAGCAAAGTACATTGAAACGGTCCAAGGGGTGAAGGTGCTGGATCTCACAATGAAATGTGACACTTTCAGCTGCTCATAGTGTGTCATATTCAGATTTAAATGTTCAGAGCAAAATAAAACCCAGGTTGTGTGGAAACATTAACATACTGCAATATTGTATGGGAACTGACCACAGGCAGTTCAGTCTGCTATGCCGACTGGGTTACTGGTCAGACTAGAATATCTTGAAAACAGCGGTCGAACTGTCACGACATTTGGTATTAATACTCGAGGAATCTTTTTTTTATTTTTTTTATTGGTAAAGACAAATTGTATATCATACATTTTGACCACCGCCACCCATAGTAATTGTAAGCCACATCCCATCCCATGCCTACAGAGTCTTATGGCTGGCTGAGTGCATGTGAGTGCTGTGAGAATATCAAACGAATAGGCTTAAAACACAAATGTTGTGTGCGCTGCTGGTCGGTCCGTCCATTCTGTCCCCTCATACCGTAACATACCAAACTTTGAAAAGCTTGCAAATTGCAATGAAATTTCCTGAGCATGCTGTGGTCCTCAGAGGATGAACTCTTTCTCCTTTAGACACTCCATAAACTTTCCTTGTGCGCAGTTGTCTGAACAAATTGTCAGTTTTGCAAGATATTCATTATTTTCATTAAATTCACTTTGGATAATTGTTCCAGAGGATGAACCGTAAAGCTTTTGAGGACCTCTTATCCCATATCCTGGGGGTGTAATTAACACTAGGGCACAAAAATCTACAGAAAAGATCAGTCTCAAAAGTAACACTGTTGAGAAACTTTTTTGTCGTAATGATTCATGAATGCTTCTCTGTGTTTCTTCTTCAGGGGCTCAAGCCGATGGACCACAATGGGCTGTCAGACCCGTATGTCAAGTTGCACTTACTGCCCGGCGCCAGCAAGGTACGCACCTTGTTAATGAATAATAAACCTGTGGTGGATTTTTTCTTTTGTTTTTGACTTTCCATGACAGCATGTCTTTCCTCTCCTCTCTTAAGAAATCAAATACCAAAATATTGAACTGGTCTTTTAAGTCATGATCAGGAACAATAATAAGAATGAGCAAGGATGTCCGCTCCTCCTCCAAAGATTTAAACCAAGCTTTAAAAGCTGTCTGGTGTTGTTTCAGTCTGACGTTGAAGCTCTCCTTACAGTCTGAGCTTTCAAGAAAACATACTGGATGCTTTACTCTGATCCCCTCTTGTGGTTTTCTCCAGGTTGTAAATAGACCCACATTAGGAGAAGCCTAATAATCCATTTCATGATTCGGGGAACACCACAGTGAGGATATGTCAGTGCAAGGCTTCATCAATGTAAACAACATTAACTGACTGACCTAATGTACCCACTTACCAATGATGTGCTTCACTGGTGAAGACCTTGCCTCTTAGCGTCACGCTGTGAGCAAAGCGTTTCTCTGCTCAATGTCGCAAGTGGATGCACTTTAACAGACATAACTTATGTTGTGTTGTACAAGCACCACTAAAGCTCTCATGGGTGTCCACACGTTAGGACTCCAACCACTGCATTCCAGCCAATATGATCACATAATCCACATACATGAAACAAAGATGGAAATATATCTTAAACATCAATGAAGAAAACGACTCGCAGGTTGTTACTGAAGAGGCAGTGAATTCTTTTATTTGCTTGCGTCTGACAGACGGCCCAGAGGTTAATTTGATCCTTTCATTAAAGTCTTCAAATCTAATATAGGTCCTGTGAATGAGTACATTCCACAAAAGAGGCTTACTTAAAGCTGAATCTGTGTGATAATCCATCTGCCTGACTCATATCTCCCTTTCTTCTAATACCTTTTCAAACTCATCTCATTTGCTACCTTGATCTGAAACTTTTTAATTGTTTCGTGTCTGCTCCCGCCACAGAACGTCAGCTTCTCCTTCACAGCAGTTTTATTTTGTGTGGCTATACTTGACAGGTGTGTAAAAACGGTGATGAATAACCATGTAAACTCATTTACTGTTTGTCAACAGCCTCCGGATGTCTGTATGTGGATGTAGTCTACTGTAGCATTTAACATATTAGTATGTAAACATGCGAGGAATTCATTGGTGTCCTGTACTTTCATGAACTCCATGCTGTTAAATTTTTAAACTAATAGGCAAGAACAAGGATTCATCCTCTTTCTTTCTTGGTTGTTAAGATATTTCACTCGAGCAAAAAAGCAGAAACAGTAGACTGATGGTGGATGGATGAACAGGCGTCTCCAGAACTGCAAGCGAGGCAGAATTTAATGGAGCAACCCACAAAAGTCTGAGAAACCCCCGCATATATGATGAAGGAAAATACACCACAGCAATGAACATTTATCACCAAGAGACCTAATAAAAAGAAAACATTGTTTTCACTTGGAGGAATAGTGCGAATGATACTTTAGAGGAGGCTTTTTTTTATGCCTACATGCTGTTGACAGCCGTGGGTGGGAGGCATTATGTTTTCAGGACGTCCATCCCATTCTCGTAAGCGTGATATCTCAGGAAGCCTTGAGGGAATTTATTCAAATTTTGCAGATACATTAATTCGGACTCGGGGATGAGCTGATTACAATTTGGTGGTCAAAGGTCAAAGGTCAAGGTCACTGTGGCCTCACAGCCATGTTTTTGGCCACAACTCAAAAATTCAAATGCTGATTATGACACATTTTCACATAAATGTCTAAAATGATGAAGTGATTACATCTTATATTCAAATGGTCAAAGGTCAACTTCACTGTGACATCATAATGCTCTGCATAAACACTTCTGCTCATTATTCAGTGGTATAAATCAGGAACAGAAGGAGAGCTTGTGACTGTATTTCCTCCAACTTGACTGGTTGGTAATTCTAGCTTCTGTATGTTTTAGTTTTCATGCCATGACTGAAAAAGTCTGTGGAGCTGGTATTTTCACTGCAAACCTGTAGATTTCACACTGTAGCTTATGAATCAACACATTATGCAGCTCTGACAAACTGACTTCTCACTGTTATATGAATATACAGAAACCGAGGGAGGCATGATAACATTGTCTTCATCAAATCTCTCAGTTACGACTGAGGCTGCTCTGGATAAATAAACCATCTCTGCAGACAGACAGAAACAGTCATCATGTCTGCCATGCATATGCCATCCTTTATTGTTAGCTATGCCCACTGTGTGCTCAGCCACACAATGTGCTGCGTGCAGTCTATGTACAAAAGCCAGTGTTAATAACATTTTCAGTCTGGAATAAATTACTGTCTGCGGCATGTGTGTAGACACTGATGGTGCTTTGTTGTGACATGACACGTTTTCTTGAAATGTAAAAAATGGACTAATTAGTGACAATGCAAAGATAGAGTAGTGATTAGTATCACGAGAATGTGCAATTAGCCATTCAGAGAGCGAGGACGCCCAGGGCCTGATGACTGCAATGAAACACTAGCATAATAATTGTCACCCAACAAATGGAACAGGCCAATAAACCAAACCAACCGTCTGCCTGCTGCTCGTTTGAATCGGCAAGCTCCTCCCCCTTCAACCTCTTCAGTTACAGGAGAAATCTGTCAACTGTAGATATCATCTGTGATCATATCCGCCCAACAGATTTGGGTCCAGAGCAAGATATCTCGACCACTAGTGACCAGATTGTTGTCAATATTCATCACACCCTGGGGATGATTTAAATGATTTGATCCTAGCAGCAAAATCTGTGCATTTTTTCTTTTATTGAAAAACTACTGTTTACACAGCAAATTGTCCTGGTTATGGTTATCTGACTGTAGAAGACGCTGCGTGTTCTCCGATCTGCAGAAATAAACATGAGGACAAAGTGTTGCTGAGAAGAATCTGTTGAAAATACCATGTTGTCAAACTGAGAATAAAAATTCTCTAAAACTTTGAAAGTAAATGGCACATAACTATGTCATTAGTGATTCATCTGTTCATTTGTTCTAAATGGAAATTTTATTTAATTTTCCAGAAAATAATTGCTCTTGCTGTCACAATATTGAGTTTTATATTATTGCTTTCAATTATTGAATCCGATGTCATTAATCAGTGATATAACAACATCCAAACATCTGTCCAATGTGAAAAAAACCCACAACTCCCAGCACCTACAACGCTCACTAATTAAGGGGTTCTTCATGGTGATACAATGATAATGCTGGAGCTTGCTTCTTGACGAGTATACAGGTGCAGTGACTGTGAGGATGCCAGCTTTGGCACAGTAGTACAACAATAAAATACAACCCTTAAGTCACTGATTGTATCTCATTACCCACTCTGTACCCAAGGGCGGAGCTCACACTGTAAGTACTGGGCGCATTGATTAACTGTTGTGTGTCAAAAATCACATTTTTGTCAAAGAGAATAAATGAGATCCAGAGTGTTCATTATTGAGCTTTAGTGGTGTTGGGAAGTTAATTGTTTTTTCATTTGGACAGAGCGACGTTAGCTGCTGCTACTGAATATATTCTATTTCTTCTTACCTCCACTTCTTTATTTAGTTATATTTACTACATTAAGAGCACACTACTTCCTGTACTAGTACAGTACTAAACAGTGATCTGCAGACTTACGCGCAGTGTTACAAACATTTCTCTCAGTATCTATAGGCTTTATTTTTTACCATCATTCACCATTTCTTCAAAGGCTGGAGGAGGTCAGGATGCAAAGTTCTTGTTATCTACAACACTGAGTTTGGCTCGCTCCTCCTGCCATCTGCTGCAGCTACTAACCCTCTACTCCATCTCTGCTGATAAAGTGGTTCTGTGCATCCTCTTTGAATGGATGCCATGGTGTCACAGACAGCGCTCACATTCTTCAAAAGATGTGTTTAAATGCATTTCCTAAGCTGATTTAAATGTACTTTTAAAACTTTCTGAACAGCACAAAATTATTCCAACAGTCTCTGACAACGTTTTCACTGGTTTCTGCACTGTATTTCAGATCATCAGGTGTCATATCTTATTTTCCAGTGATTGGTTTGAGTTTATGTAAGGGGTTTTTCTTCCTCCATCCTAGTTTAGAGAGTAGCATAGCAGGCATGAGTTTATATGAAAATGTCATTGATTATTTGATAAGTCAAGTAAAACTCCATGAGGGCGAGGTGCCCCTACGGCTATGTCCACATCTCTTCTGCTACATTTAGGCCTCATGTCCACACTACTCTGCTGAACCCGTGTTAGTTTGAAAACTCCAGGGTTGCTTTTTAGTCTGGACGGAAACAATAATGTAGACACCCACGGTTGCTTCCTGATTGGGTCCTATCAGCCTCGACAACCAGTGTTGAGTACAACATGAAAAACCTTACTGACCTTGTTGTATGTGCTAGCAACAGTTAAACTAAGTAACATTTGTTATTGGTCGTCTAGACAGAGATCGTTTTCGTTTTAAAATAAAGATGTATTTGTGTGGATGTAGCCCAGGATTGTGTCTCAGTAGGAGGCCTCACTGAGGCTTTTACATCTTTCTGCCAGTAAAACAAGATGCCGTCACCTTCCCCCTGCTCTGATATTCTCTCCGCTTGCTCTCAAAATAATCATTAGGCTCGGTCTAAGAGCCTCATTAAGACCCACTAAAGAGGTCATAAGTTCTGCTTGCACTCTAATCAGAAGTGAAGTTTCACGCTCTGCTGCAAAGCCAGATCATAGTTTCATCTCCTCTGAGACCACAATCAAACACAACGAAACGCCTCTAATTATTCCAGATTAAGCAGTCGTTCTCTGACAGGGATTAAATATAGTAAAATGATGATGTAGGATCACAAGGTGATGAGGTGGTGCAGGTGACAAATTTGGCGTGCAGTAAGTACAACAGCTTTCTAAACCATTTATACTTTCATATTGAATTTCTAAAATAGTATTAGGTATTGTGTGAAATCAATGCCTCATGAGCTGGACTCAAACATTGTTTGTTGCTT